GAATAGTTTGAGAATAGGTGTTAATTCTTTGAATATTCAGTAAAATTCACCTGTGAAGCCCTCTGGTCCAGGACTTTTCTTTGTTGGGAAATTGTTGATTACTGATTCGATTCCATGTGTGGTAATCAGTCTGTTCAGGTTTTCTGTTTCTTCTTGATTCAGCCTTGGAACCTTGTATGCTTTTAGAAATTTATCCATTTCTTCCAGATTGTCCAATTGGTTGGCATATAGTTGCTTGTAATATTTTCTTAAAATTTTTTTTGTATTTCTGTGGTGTCCGTGGTCACTTCTCTTTCATTTTGGATTTTATTTATTTGGGTCCTCTCTGTTTCTCTTGATGAGTCCGGTTGAAGTTTTGTCAATTTTGTTTCTTTTTAAAAACCAACTCTTGGTTTCATTGATCTTTTGTATTTTTCTTTTAGTCACTATTTCATTTATTTCTTTACTATTTCCTTCCTTGTATTCACTTTGAACTTTATTTGCTGTTCTTTTTTTCCAGTTTCCTTAAGTGTAAAGTTAGGCTATTTGAGATTTTTCTTGTTTCTTTAGGTAGACCTGCATTGCTATGGATTTCCCTCTTATGATTGTTTTTACTGTGTCTCAATAAATTTTGGGCTGTTGTGTTTTCATTTTCATTTGTCTCAAGGTACCTTTTGATTTCTTTCTTGATCGCATTCTTGACCCATTCATTGTTTAGTAGCATTTTATTTAGCTTCCATGTGTTTGTGTGTTTTTTTTCTTGTAATTGATTTCTAGTTTTATACCATTGTAGTTAGAGAAAATGCTTAATATAACTTCATTGTATGTCAACTATAAGTGAATATATATATATATATATATATATATATATATATATATAGTCATGGGACGTGGAGTATAGTGTGGGAGTGGAGTCAAGGGATTTGTAATAGATATGTATGATATTGGGGGGAAGTGGGGCGGTGGATTGGGGGAGGGGGGTTGTCACTTCGAGGGGTAAAAAGTATAACTATTGCACTGTGTTGTACAGCTGAAACTAATTCTAAAAAATGTGTATTTCATAATAAAAAATAATTTAAAAAACAAACAAAAGGGAAATAGAAACAAAGTAAAAAGTCAACATGAGAGGGGGAATAAAGGACACTGGAAAACTTGTTAAAAATATATAACTTCAATCTTCTTAAATTTATTGAGACTTGTTTTGTGGCCTAACATATGGTCATACTGTAAAATGTTTCATTTGCACTTGAAAAGAATGTATATTCTGCTGCATTGGGTTGAAATGCTCTAAAAATATCAATTCAATCCATCTGGTCTAGTGTGTCATTTAAAGCCGCTGTTTCTGTGCTAATTGTCTGTCTGGATGATCTATCTGTCCATTGGTGTCAATGAAGTGTTAAAGTCCCCTACTGTGATTATATTACTGTTGATCTCTGCCTTTATGTCGGTCAATAATTGTTTTATATATTTAGGTGCTCCTATGTTGGGTGCATAAATGTTTACTAGGATGATAGCCTCTTGTTGGCTTGATCCCTTTATTATTATGTAATGTCCTTCTTTGTCTCTTATTATGGTCTTCATTTTAAAGTCTATTTTGTTTAATATAAGTATTGCTACCCCAGGTTTTTTGTTTGTTTCATTTCTATTTGTGTGAAATATCTTTTTCCATCCCTCTACTTTCAGTCTGTGTGTGTCTTTCGATCTGTGTGTGTCTTTTGATCTGAAGTGGGTCTCTTGTAGACAGCATACGCATGGGTCTTGTTTTCTTATCCATTCAGCTACCCTATGTCTTTGGATTGGAACATTTAATCCATTTACATTTAAAGTGATTATTGATAGGTACATAGTTATTGCCATTTTATTATTTGTATTTTTGGTCTTTGTCACTTAGTTTGTTTTCTCCTTTCTTCTGCTTAAAGAAGTCCTTTTAACATCTCCTGTAATACTGGCTTGGTGGTAATGAATTCCTTTAGCTTTTCCTTATCTAGGAAGCTCTTTTTCTCTCTCTTTTTCAAACATAGCCTTGCTGGGTACAGCAGTTTTGGTTGTAGGCCCTTACTTTTCATCACTTTGAATATTTCCTGCCACTCCCTTGTGGCCTGCAAAGTTTCTGTAGAAAAATCAGCTGATAACCTCGGAGCTACCTTTTGAATAACTATCTGTCTTTCTCTTACTGCTTTTAGGACTCTCCTTTGTCTTTAACCTTTGCCATTTTAATTATGATATATCTTTGTGTGAGTTTGTTCGAGTTCATCTTGTTTGGGACTCTCTGTGCTTTCTGGGCTGGTATGTCTATTTCCTTTGCCAGGTCAAGAAAGTTTTCAATCATTATTTCTTCAAATAGGTTCTCAATCCCTTGTTCCCTTTTGTCCCCTTTTGGTACTCCTATGATGTGAATGTTGCTATGCTCGATGTTGTCCCACAGAGCCCTTAAACTATCTTCATTTCTTTTTATTCTTTTTTTCTTTTTGTTTTTCCTATTAGGTGTTTTCTGCTTCCTTCTCTTCTAAATCACTGATTCAATCCTCTGATTCATCTAATCTGCTGTTGATTCCTTCTAGTGTATTCTCCATTTCAGTTATTGTTTATTTCTGACTACTTATTTTTTATAGTTACTCTGTCCTTCTTTATGCTTGTTATCTCTTTGTTGAAGTTTTCACTAAGTTCCTTAAGCATTCTTATAACCAGTGTTTTAAACTCTGTCTCTGGTAGGTTGGTTGCCTCCATTTCATTTAATTCGATTGCTGGAGGTTTCGATTGTTCTTTTATTTGGGACATGTTTCTTTGTTTCCTCATACTTCTATCTCTCTGGGTTTGCTTCTATGTATTAGGTAGATCTCCTCCTATGTCTCTAAGTCTTTGCTGGGTGACCTTATGCTGTATGTGTCTTGTTTCATCCAATGGCGCCATCTCCCTGATCTCCTGTGCATGTGTTCTAGGAGTGTCCCTTGAGTGTGTTATGTGTATTCTCCTGTTGTAGTCAAGTTTTGATTGCTTTTGGTGTGTCAGTGGGTGGTACTGACTTCCAGGCTGACTGACTGTGAGGACTGGTTACGTCCACAGTCCATGAGCTGCTGTGTGGGGACTGACCCCTCAGAGGAGGCATCACCCCCATGGCTCTTATGCCTGTTAGGATGCCCCTTTGGGTATGCCCCTTGTGGGGCTAACCAAGTAGTACTCTGGTGTGGTTAAAAGCTAGCCTCTGCATGTGTTATTTTTGGTTTCTCTTAGGAGGGGGTCCCATGCAGGCCAATTTCAGCCTTGCCTGTTACTGGCCCACGGTTACCTGGTTGGGGACAAAAAGCTTTATGTGGTTGGCCGCTGCCTGTGCCTTGCTGTGAACTGAGGCTGGCTGCCACCAGTAGTGGGCCCGAGGCCGCTTAGCAAAAGGCCCAGGGTCCCAGAGGCCTATTGTCACCTGCCAGCTGCCTATAAGTCCCAGCGGTTGAAAGAGCCTCCTTAGGCGCATGGGCCAGGCTGGGTGACTGGTGTTGAGAGTGCCCTCAGCAATGGAGCATCAGCTGGGCAGGGTGGGGGTCCCAGGGAGTCATGAGATGTGGCCAGTGGTGTTTAGAAAGTTGATGCAGATCCAGTGCATGACCTGTGACCACTTCACACAGCACCCTGAAAATACCGCAGCCAGCTACCACTCACCTCAGGCTCACAGATCCCCATGAGCTGCCAAAGAGAGGCCATGGTGTAAGTTGTGGCTCACTGCCCACCACCACAAGTTTCCTGTGCAGCCACAGGCTGTCTGCTGCTATAAAGGCTTCCATGGCTTATGGGGTGGGGCTGGCCACCCAGGCACCAAGACAGCCATCAGCAGTGCAGCTCTAGATGGGTGGGGCGGGGTTCCAGGGAGCTATGGGGTGTAGCAATGGGTTTTGCACAGTTAATGCAGTCTCAGTTCTTGTACCAGTGCTGGGCCCTTGACCACTTCACAAAAATGCCCTGAGAACAGCCACCACTCACCTAGAGCTCACAGATCCCTGAGAGCTGCCTAAGCGAGGTTGGGGTATGAGTTGTGGCTCACTGCCCACCACCAAAAGTTGTCTGGGGAGCTGCAGACCGTCCACTGCTGTAAAAGTATTCCACTGCATGTGGGGTGGGGCCACCACTCAGTAGCCTAAAGTGCCCCAAGCAATACAGTACCAGTTGTGTGGGGTTGGAAACCAGGGCATCACCAAGGTGGTGCATATGCATGGATTTTACCAGACCATTGTGGTCTCAGATTTGGCCCTTTGAGGGAGGGTTCAACATAGAAAAGATGGCACCCTGCTGTAGGCTACAGGCGAGGCAGGTTTCTCAGAGGGATAACGGCGGCTCCAGCCCTCGCCTTAAAGCCGCACAACTCAGTATTTCCCCATTTGTCTCTAGCGTCTCTTGAATTGCTGCTCTTGCACCGGAGACCAGATGAGTGCTTACAAGTGAGTATATCTGTGTGCGGGCCTTTTAAGAGGGCTTCTGGGTTTATCAGCCACCTTCTGTCTCACCAGGACAGGCAGACAGTTCGCGCTGATTTTCAATGCCAGAGTTGGGAACTCCTCTTCCTGGCACAGGCCCCCTGGGCTGGGAAGCCCAGTGTGTGGCTGGACCCCTCTCTCTTCCAGGGGGACCCGTGCCACCAAAGTGTCCCTCCCGGTGTTCAACCACTCTCTGTGGATTTGGGGTCAGCCTGTTTTGCATCTCCACTTCTCATACAAGCCTCAATGCAGCCTCTTCTTTATATACTTAGTTATAGGGATTCTGTTTAGTTTGTCTTCAGGTGATTCTTGAGGTTGATTGTTCTATAATTTGTAATTTTGGTGTAATCCTGGGATGCAGTAGGCATAGTGTTTACCTAAACCACCATCTTGGCACCATACAAACACCAGTTTTCTTAATGCAAAATTTAACAAATAAACATACAAAAATGACTTTTAAAAATCATATGCTGTCATACCCAGAAAAAAAGTCAGAAAGAGCACTTACTAATTATTATAATTCTAAGAGTCTATTTATCTGAGATTTAACATTCTTACTTTCTTCCTTCTTAAACTGTTTTCCTGTGCTTGCATGGGGCAGGTCAGCAGCGGTTCGGGTTGGGCTGGTAACAACAGTCTTCATGGGACGGGTGTGCTGTTGCCCCCAGTGAGCCACTCCTCTGCTGACCTCCAGCGTTAACTGGACCATTCGGTTAATGGCTTGCTGAATGTCATCTAAACTAGGAACCATCACCTGTGGAAAGAAGAAACAAGTTCCTGGTACATCTGGCAAATAAAACCCATCCCTCTGAGTCTCACTGCCCGCTTTCCTCACTGAGTGGGGAAAACCTCAGCTGGCCAAGGAAAAGGCGGTTTTGAAGACAGGGGTGTGTGAGTGGAGTGCAAAACGCATGCAGAGTTTCTCTATCCTGAAGTTTTCCCCTTCTATCAATTCCTGCAGAAAAAAAGGTCAAACATAATGCTTGTCATGCTTTCCATGTGATGGTGTCTAAATGCAGCTCAAAACTGTAGACTATATGATGGATGTTCATGAAACAAAATAGCTGAAGAAGCAATATTGCCAAGATTCTGATCTCAATTCTTTGAAATATGCCAAATAAGCAGACGAGGTGTCCTCCGGGAGGCCAGACCATGTACATGTGTTATTAGGTGAGTCAGATTGCCCCTTCCTGGCCCCATTTCTTGGCTCCTCAAAGAATGCACCTCAAGTCATCCTGTGTGCCTCGGGGTTCCAGATGCCAGCGAGCAGCTGGGGTGGTGGTAGAGATAAGTTCCATGAGAAAGCACAAGAGATCGAAGAAGCTCAGAGCATAGGCTCTCTCTTTCTTTCTATTGCACCATCATTAGTGGGTTGCCTCACAATCATGTATTTGGGGTATGGATTTGGACTTCTGAGATGGTCTTATTTAGATAATTTAAAGTTTGAAGTAAGAAAAAGCAATATTTTTAGAATAATTGCTAACTGATGGCTGAACAACTGCTCAACTGTTACACCAGCCTCAGTATACCAAGAGCTATGGAGAGCAATCTTTTTATAATAGATATAAATGATAATATTTTGATTTTTGTTAAATACTGAGGTGAAGTCCAAAAATACATAGGACTAAAAGGTTACCATAAATGAAAGTTCAGTACTAATGCTATACTTCTCAAATACATTCCCAAAATACCACTGCATTCATTTGACTATTTAATAATACTTACCACGTTAGGAATGGCAAGATGCACTTCAGTTTTTAAAAAGGAAATAACATCTTCTGACCGCTTTCGTCCATATAGGCTGTAATAAGATGGACATTTCGATGATAAACCTCAACCTATAATTTCATAAATCACTTGCTATGCTATCACACTCAATCCTAAAAATAAAGACCATTTTTAAAATACTGAACTACATGAAGAGAATGTTATTTATAATGGAACCATAAATTTCAGAGAACTAAGAAAACATAGCAAGTTAATATTCTTAGAAGTAAAATATGAGTCTCATATACATTTTCTAGTATTTTAATGTTGTCCTAACTCAGTAATAAACATTTAATAATGTTTACTAAAATCACCCCTTTTTCCCAGCCTTGTAACAGATGCTGGACAAGAGGACAAGATCATCAACAAAAAGCATATGCCTTTATGTACTTTTTTTTTTAAATGATTTTTATTGGGGAATTGGGGGAAGGGGAACAGACAAGTTGCTGTCCTTTTGTTCTTCAGTCTAGTTGTGGAGGACGTTGCTTCACTGGCCCAAGTCGGCACCATCATTGCGCTCTTCCTGGGCGAGGCAGATCAGTCGCCGGCTTCTGGACGGCCGCTCACTGCAGCTGCTGGCCGCTCACGCTGGCTGCTGGCTACACACGGTAGCCCATGGCAACCCACCTGCCATGGCCTGCGACTCACTGGCACCTCAGCTCCAGGTTGAGTTGTTGTTTAGCATCTTAGCTGTAGAGAGCAGTGTCACTGGCCCTCATATGTGGGATCCGAACCGGCGCCCTCTAGCATCCCAAGCCAGCTCTTAACCGATGCGCCACTCGGCCGGCCCATGTACTTTTTTATACATACTTTTTTGAAAGATTAAACAGGGGGTTGTTGGTCAAAGCCTTCCCAAAACTGCCTTTTTAAACAAAATCGCTCATGCTCAGACAGAAATACATACAAACAGAAGTATAGACACATGACTGCATGTAATGAAGGAGATACATCAATGCTACAAATTGGTTTGCTTTTCTCCCTCTGCTGTGACCTCTGTCCTCATCCCAGATAAAATTATCATAAATGTATACTTTCCATAGCCAGAAAATCTGTCATTACTGAAAAACTACATTTCCATTCACAAACACAATCAGAGGAAGCACGGATGGGGGAGAGCACAAAAAACCTAAAGCCTCTGCAGTTCAAAGTGGAGACCCAACTTTAGCATTCAGGACCAGTGGTTCCCAGGAAAGCATATTATTACAAGTCACTCTTTGAACTAAAAGCATGTAAACAAAGAAAAAAAACGCTTCTAATTCATAGCCTCACTGTGAAATTCAAAATGCAACAATAAAGAAAAGTATAGACTGTATCTAAAAAGGCACAATCTAAGAACAAGAGTTTTGTATATAAACAAACAGCTGAAATAAAATAAGCAGTGAATAGTACACTAGATTATTCAGTAAGTTATTTGACAAACTAGAGGATTAGCTTAAGGAATTATCCAAAAGTTCAGATGCAAAATACAAAGAGTACTGAAAGAAATGGTGAGAGAAAGGATAAAGATAAGTAATGTTTCCCAGACACTTTTCCAAAAGCTTTCCATGAGTTAACACATTCATGCTCACATTAACTCTGTGAGGCAGATCCTGTGATTATTTCCATTTTGTAGATGAGGAAACCAAGGCAGGGAGAGGTTAAGTGACCTATAGAGGGTCACTCAGCTCAGAAATGCTTTATGACCTAGATCCAGCATGTAAATCCAACATATGAAAATTAAAGCATAGCCTTTCTCTAATCTTAAGAATGGATTGGCTTTATCATCTTGTAAAGTTTCCCTGTGTGCCCAACAGATTAATGGGGGGAAATGACCTACATCTAAACACATAATTTGTGAATTGCCAGAATAAGATGGGAAATCCTGCAAGCATCAAACAACAGGTCGTTACTTAGAAAAGCAAATCGAATTAGCAGCAGAACTCTCATTTGAAATAGAAACAAAAGAAACCAATGAAATAGAATTTGTAGGGTGTGAAAGAAAGAGATGATGATTCAAACTGACCAAACTAGGCATTCATGTGGGAGGGTAAGAGAAAGACTTTTGGGACAGGGATGATTCTGAAGTATTATACTCATGCATCTCTTCAAAAATGACTTAAATACTGCAGGACTTGTAAATCAATGTGGCATAGAGAGTTCAGACTTCAAAAAATGCCTCTTTGGGTCAAATACATCATAATCATGGATAGAATATAAAGGATGTGAGAATGTGCAAATACAAGATAAACATCTCCATGAACCAGAAATGGATCAGAAACACACAAACAGCTTGGCCAGGCTCTGGTCAGGACACAGGCAGTGACAGTGGGAGGTTGGCTCTCGTGGTCTGTAGGGGACTGAAAGCATTCCATGTGAGATGGGACCTCAGCCAAGCTTGCTAACTGAAGCCAGAAACTAAAGTGAAGTCCTCCTGCCTGTAAAGAGGGGCAAAATAACAACAGAATTAAGTTCGTCTGGAGCTAGAGGTTTTCCAGAAGTTGTGAGCCTGGGGTGACAGAAGCAAATCCACAGCATCCCCAGGAAGCAACTGAGCAGGGTGCTCGCCAGCGGAACCTGCCATATCCCAGGATCTCTTCAGGGGGCAGTAACCCTGAAGCAACACAACCTGGTTCTGTATTCCAGATTCCAAAGTCATGTGAAGGCAAAAGTGAAACTCCTAGATAGGGAGAGAGGAAAGCAGGGAGATACACACAAAAACAAACAAAAGGTCCTGCTCAAGAGGGCCTTCAAAGTAAAATTCCTAGGTTTGAAAGTAAGAAAGAGAATGAAAAAACTCAATAATTGAACCAGAAACTCACTCCAGATAAAATTCAATGTACAGAAGTATGAAAAACTCTGTAATAAGTATATGGAGAATGTTCAAAGAGATAAATGGAGGTACAGTATATTAAAAAAATAATAATAAAGAATTGCTCAACTAAAGAGGCAGAAATGATACAATATCGGGAGGATAATAAGAAATATTAACTAAAATATTTAAGATGCAATAGATGAGATCATCTTTAGATGAGATACAGAGATGCTTACCCATAATGTAACCCAGAAGTGCAAAAAGACAAAATATATGACAGGGTAGTTAGGAGCTGGGGAGGAGAAGCCTCAACGTTTGACATGACTGCACAGCCAGAGTGCTCAGGACAGTTCCAGTTCACTCTGTCCTGGCACTTCATCAGAACAGCGCCCCTCCATTCAACAGTGTCCTAGTTGGGACAATCAATTATATGGTTAATCCATTCAACATTCAGCTACTCGGAGTTCCATAAGAAGAGCATGAAGGGAATGTACCAGAAGCAACAACTGAAGAGGAAATTGCTAATTTTCAGAATTAAGGAACACTATAAACCCTCAGATAGAAAGTCACTCTAAAAACAAAGCAGGGTTAAATAATGATAACTCTACAATGGGAAAAAAAACCTGCAAAACATTAAGGAGAAAAAACAATCCATCACTGTATATTTGATCCCCTTTTCCCCAATATATGGTGATGGAAGAACTGACTCTGGGTGGTGAACACACAATGCAATATACAGATGATGTATTACAGAAATGTACACTTGAAACCTATGTAATTTTACTAATCATGGTCACCCCAATAAATTTAATAAATAAACAAATATTTTAAAAAGAAAAAAAAATCTTCAGTTAGACTTATTACAGACTTCTCATCAACCATAGATAGTACTTTTGAAAGCTGGAGCTAAATATGTGTATTCTAAATTTAAGAGTAACTGCTTAAAGAACTGAAGTATAGGAAAGAGAATAAAAGGAGAAATTACCCATCCCAAGGATAACAGAGATAATGAAATGAACCAAAGAAAAAGGATAGTTAAGAAGAAAACACAAAATAAAATGTCATAAATTAAATGTATTTGTATCAGAAAGTCACGGTAAATGAAAACAGACTGAACTCTACTTAAAAAGGCAGAGATAATCAAATTGAATAAAAATAATCAAGTATATGATGCTTTTAAGAGATAAGACAAAAACTGCACAGTAAGATTTAAATGAAGGGATACAAAAAGATATACAAAAAACCTGGGAAAATAAAATAAATGATAGGCTAAAAAAGACTATAAGGAATCAGGATTAATATGGATAGAGAGCTTCACCAAATAAAAATAAAAGGAACAGTCCCCTAAGCAGATCTAACTACTATGACCTTGTATATACCTAAAGGATAGCCTTAAAATACATAAAACAAGAACTGACCAAAACAGAAGGGAAAATTTGACAAGTTTACAATCTCTAGGGAGATTTTAACAGTGTAATTCAACAATGAATAGCCAAGGAATAAATCTCATAAAAATGTGCAAGACTTTTACACAGAGAATTATAGAACTTAATTGAGAAATATTAAAGAAGATAAAAAAATATCCATGACTCTAGTAACCCATGATTCCAATGGAAGACTCAGTACTGGAAGGATGCTAATTCTCCCCAAATTTATCTATAGATTCAATGTAATTTAAATAACCCTCCCAAAAGAAAAATTAATTTTTCAACAACTTTTGCTTGGTTAATTAACAATATGGAAAAATATATATATTGGTTTCCTGCCTCTCACTAAATACAAAAATCAATACCATATGGAATCAATCACTAAATGTAAAAGATAAAATTTTTAGAAGATATTATGAAGTAGGGAAAGATTACTTTTAAAAGACATAAAAATCACAAATTACTAAGAAAAAGACTGATAAATATTTTAAAAGACAGGTATTTGCTATATTATCATCAACAAAGTAATACACTGAGAACATCGATCTATGAATAAATCCAATCCAATAAAAAAACTGACAGGAAAAGTGGAGAGAGAGAAAGGAAGAGGAAGAGGTGGAGGGGTAAAGGGAGGGGGAGGGGAGAGCAGAAGGGAGGGAAGGAAAGGAGAAGAGAGGAGAGGAAAACACACATTTTGAAGAAGAGAAAGAAGTACAAATGGCTCTTAAAAATAAAAGTATGTTCAACCTCATCAGTAACCAATAATTTAAATCCCAATGAGATGCCACTGCACACACCCCAAAGCTGTGAAGGTTTTTTGAATTGAACAATACCAACTGTGTGCAAGGATGAGGAGCCACAGAGACGCACAAGCTAGGCCTTGCCTGGCAAAGTGAAGCATATACATACCCCAGGGCCCAGGTATTCCGCTCTTAGCAGGCGGAGCAGGAAACAGGTGTAAGAATGGTCACAGAGGCTTTACTCACAACAGCCCACACTGGAAACAACCCAAATGACCATCACCAGTAGAACGGAAAAATAGATTATGTGTGCTCCAACCATATAGAAGTGAAAATAAATTAGATCAACACAGATGAATCTCAAAAGCATAATACTGAATGCAGCCCAAAACAGGCAAAATTAAATGATACGTTGATTAGGGATACCAATGTGTGATAAACGGTAAGGAAAGCCTAGACAATGATGAACATCAAGTTCAGGATAGTAGTTATTTTTGGGTGAGCAGAGAAATAACCAGTAAGGGGACTGGTCATGTTCAGTGTTCTGTATCTTGTCCTGGCTGCTGGGAACTTGGTTGTTCATTTGATCACTCACTCTTCTCATAGTGTTACCCTTATGTTTTCATACAGTCTTTTCTTCTATGCTATATTTTAAATTTTATAATTTTCTTAAATAAATTGATAAAGAGGTGCTATTAATAGCATATTATGATAGTATCACCAGACATATTTAGCATATTTTCAACTTGCCTTGCAACAAATATTCTTCTTTTCATTGTGTCCAGAGATAACCGTGTAGCTTTTTGAAGACTGTCTAGTAATTGATGAGAGAAGAAAGCAAAGACCTCTTTACATTCCTGCAGTAAGAAATCACATTAAAATTGGGACAAAAAATAAAAACTCTAACACTTCCCAAAGCAAGAATATAATATTAGAACTGTCACGTGAAAGATGATATAATGAACTGCACAATTTCAATTATATTGTAGAAATAAGTTCAATCCTAATTTACTTCTTTATTTTTTAAAACAATATGTGAAAAGTTTGCTGTCATAAAGACCCTAGCAAACCATAAGGACTTCCTGAAAAGCCAAAACTCAAAAATGGCTTATTCAAAATAAGAGTGGTTTGCTCAGCACTCACGAAGTCACTCAACAAAACTGAAGCACTTATTAAGTGCGGTGCACTTAATGCTTAGGGGTGTGGGCATAAGAGGATATTTAGTCTCCAACCACAAAATGTTCAGCTTGGTAGATAAATGTATTTTAAAATATAAAATACCAAAATATATGGGATGAAACTTCCACCATCTTGGGACCATGGTCTGCCCCTCTCTCCAAGCCCCTCTTTCTCTGCAGAGAAGTAGCAAGTTTATTGGGAGCGTGCAGGACAAGTATGGAGACTGAGCAGGAGTCTGGGTGCCACGTCTGGTTTGCACAGTGAGTCCCATATCCAGGGCCAGTCTCTGCCCATACTATTTGTCTCCACTCTGCACCCTGCCCCTCTGAGGCTGGCTGGGTGAGTCAGGTTGAGTTGGGTCAGAGGGAAGGTCATCAGGTATAAAAAAAAGAGGACTAGGTCAGGGCCAGTGAATGATCAGGCTAAAGCACAGGTGTGGCCTAGGCAGATATTTATGTTGGACCATTCTGACAGCAATGTGGACGTGGATTTGAGAGGCAGAGGCTATTTAGGAGATGATGGCACTGAGGCAGCTTCAAGTGATTCCCCCAGTTCGAGAGGCTCTGACGGTTCTCAGTCTTGCTCTAAGGACTCCAGCCAGTGTCAAAGGCAGTGCAATTGGAAGAGAAGATCTGCAGAGCTGGGAGCACGGTTCCTATCTCCAGCTGACTCTGCAGACTGATCATGGCTGCCTGGTGCATGGTGCTGAGAAGAAATCTATGGTTAGACTCAGCAGAAAAGTGTTTCCTGATCAATTGGTGATATCATCCTTGAGTAAGAAGGTGAAAGTGGAACAAACCTGTGTAGTTTATTTCCAAAACTGTACGTATTATAGTGTGTGCTCAAAAAAGTGTAAAAGAATGTAAAATAGAGAAAGAATGATAAGAAGGTGAGTATCATGAATTAAAAGAAAACTAACAGGAGCAGGAGAAAGCAAGAATTAGGACAAATGTGGGAGTGACATTCAGGATTGAAGCATACCTCGAAGGGTGAGGGCTAAGAAGGAGCAAGAAACTCTGTGCCTCCTTCTCAGCCTTCATTCTGAACACATCTAAACGCAATGTGAACATCTGCCCACCCAGGGTCTCTCCTGGGGGAGAGTCCACAGGCTATACATGGTGCTAGTTAAAAACGCAGATCCCTGGGCCCCAAGTTCATCAAAATCTGGGCTTGCAATATAGGTAACTCTATTAAACACAATAACTGAGAAAAAATTTCTCCACTCTGAGTCAAACAGATGGGCACTACAATCCCAGAAGTACTATATAATAAAGCATGGCCAATTGCAACAGGGGGAGGTAACTACATAATAACACAGCTGACAGGTCACATTAAAAGCTGATGATGTTGGGGGAAACTGTAAGGAATGCTATCTTTCCAGATTCTACAGTGCAGAACTGAAAATTTCATTTTCTGGATTCTGTTATAAACTCAAATTAGTTATATATCCCCATAGGTTGGTTGCAGAACTGCCTGAGTAAAGTACCATTTGGGGTTATCTACAATCCTGAGTCATAATTCTGTGAAATTCAATGAGGTTGTTTCACAAGAAATACCTTTTTAAATTCATCTTCTTTATCATTAGCAGCAACCTCCGTCACAGTACCAGCCTCTTCATCAGGGTTTTCACCATCTTCTGCTTCACTTCCAAAAACAACATGTTTCCTCGGTTCTATAGATTTAAAAATACACACACACACACACACACACACACACACATATATATATATATATATATAATGTGTATATATATGAAATGTGTGTGTGTGTATATATATATATATATATATATATATATATATATATATGTAACATTTAATGTTCAACATTTGGTTTATTCTATATGGCCAAACCTTCTTAGAAAACCGCTTCTTAAAAAGTTTTTAATTTAAATTTTTAAAATTTGTTCTTGGAGGAATGATTCCTTTTTTAAATTAAATTTATTGGGGTGATGTTGGTTAGTAAAATTATATAGGTTTCAAGTGTACATTTCTATAATACATCATCTATATATTGCATTGCGTGTTTACCACCCAGAGTCACTCTTGAATTCAATTTAAATCACCCATCTCAATAGAATTGTCATTCTACTAAGAAATATACTCTTTATACTCTTAGCGTCTAGAATTACGATGCATTTGAGAAGGGTTTTACATATTGTCTTTCTAAAATATTTGTTTACTTTTGAGTTTTCTAACTTAATGAGCTGGTATTTTTGTGTTTTTGACACTTCTGACAAAAACTAATTCAACTAAATGGAAAAACTCTAAGGAAAGAAGACATGCTGTGGATGCTTGTCTAAGCTCAGAGTTTCTCATCCTCAGCACTATTATCATTCTTGGTTGTTGAGGGCTGTCCTGAGCTTTTAGGATATTCAGCAACATCTCTGTTATCTGCCCAGTAGATGACAGTAACACCTCCTCATGCTGTGTGACAACTAAAAATGTCTCCAGCCATTTTAGAATGCTGTGCAAAGATATAGAGAGAAGAGAGACAGAGAGACAGAGAGAGAGAGGGAGAGAGGAAGAGAGGAAAAGGGAGGAGAGGGAGAGGGAGAGGGAGAGGGGGGGAGGGAGAGGGAGAGAGAGAGAGAGAGAGAGAGAGAGAGAGAGAGAGAGAGAGAGAGACAGAGACAGAGACAGAGAACATAGCAGACCTCAGAGTGCCATCCATAGAGAGGTCCTTGGTTGGAATCTGGGAACTTGGAGTTCAGAAGGGTTCCTACCATTCTCTAATAGATAAAAAGGGTTCACTGTGCCTATACATTTTATGCAATGATGTAGTTTATGCTCTTTCTGGGAGTCTGAAATTTTGGAACCTGCTAAGCAGAAGGTGCCTACTTGAGAATATATCTGTAGCTCTCGTGATACAAACATTACAGCTAGTGAACTTACCTGGTACATGTTTTGCTGCTTTCCCACTGTACTTCACTTCATAAATAGTCTCAAATATTGATATGAGTTCTCTGACAGCTTCTTCCACATGCCTGCTTTTGTGGTTTAGAATACCAGCCCATTCTTTTGTGTATGTCTATTAAGTAGAGAAATTACTATTAATTTCCAGGTACTTAAAAAATACTGTTAAAATGATTACGATGACTTTAATTTATAGAACTGTAATTAGCACCACTTGAAAATAACTAGATGGACCAGATGGACCCATGTCCTGTTGGGGAGTCCACTTCATAGTTGATGTAGAGGCCTGACCACCGCATTGTATTTCTGAAACTGATGTTGAATAATACTGTATGCCAACTATAATTATATATACATATAACCTCGGGACATGGAGTAGAGAGCGGGAACGGATTCAATGGAATTGTAATAGATAAGCATGATATCGGGGGTGGGAAGGCAATAGGTGAGGGGAGGGGGATTGTTACTTTGTGAGGGTGAAAAGGGTAACTATTGCATTGTTCTATACACCTGAAACTAACAATAAAAAAATAAATTAAAAAAAAAAAAGAAAAGAACTAGAGATCATTGCCAATAGCATAATGTTTCAGATTCCAAATGGCTAACGCACAGCTGCTAAGGCCTATGCAAAGAAACAGAGGAGAAAGAAGAAAAATTCAGTCTTTGATCTTTATCTGCCTCATAGGCATCTACATTCACATTTAAACATCAAAAGAAAGAAGGCTGAAGGGAGCAGAAAGATGTCAAAAGTTGAAATTGAGAAGTTGTTTAAAAAAGGACAACCCAAAGTGTTGCTTTGAGATGCAAATGAGATGAGGTTTCTTAAGTGAGCATCAATTGTGTGTGCCAGGCATCAATTTAAGAGCTTTATGCGTATTAACTCATTTAGTTAAATGACACCCTCTTGGGAGAAGTAATGTTATTGTCCCCATGTCACAGATGAGAAAACTGAGGCTCAGAAGGAATAATACATTTGTCCAACATCATACAGTGGGTGGTAAAAACAGAGGTTTGAAACCAGCTTTGACTGACTCTAAAAGCCTGTGCTTTGCCTTTCTGAACTTTTTTAATAGTCAGCAAAAGCTTCAGGAAGAAGTTGAGAACTAAATTCAGAAAAGAAAACAGCCTTATAAAATTGAGTGGGTCTTTTGACATGTTCACAGCATCCACACATTTTAGGAAAGGGAAAAGTAAATGGGAGTCCGTAGCCAGCTTGGAACTTCCAAACAACTTCTGCAAAGGAACCCGAGCCTGTCGAGCAAATCTCTCTCTAGACAAGCCTTGGGGGGTCCTGTATGACTGGTGCACTGCCCTCATGTGTTCCTTTATTGGCTACTGGATTGAGGGAGATACTTCTAAGTTTGTCATTCCCATTTATACCCATCCACATCTTGTTCCAGTCTCAGGGGAAATGGTGTTCCTCCTCCCGCCAGAAGACATTCTCTGATCTTCCCCTCCCCCACCAACTCCTATGACTTTTCTTCCTCATTCATTTCTTCCATCCTTTCTAATTTATTCAACACAGTGTTAAACACTGCAATGACAAAGGTGGCTGAGAACCACTGCAGTCTAGCAGGGAACATGAGTGCTAAGAAAGTGGACACTTCCAGCTGACCCCGGCAGACTGAACACATGTTGTAAACTCTCCATCCCAACCCTGCTTGCTTTCAAATCCCTTAAGAAAAAAACCAGACATCCAGTATGACAGACTGAACACACATGTTTATCTTGGCACTCCCTTCGTAGTTCCAAAATCTTCAACAAAACTAACATAATCTTTTAAAAAGAATATGCCCACAAGAATAAAATAGAGGATATTGCATAAAGTCTTCTGTATGTTTCCACTACTGTATGAAAATAAAGTTAATGGGATTCGACAACTGATGCTGGGACAGATGAATACCTATTTGCAAAAGAATGGAACTGAGTCTTTTCCTTACACCATACACAAAAACTAACTCAAAATGAGTCATAGACCAAAATGTAAGGGCTAAAACTATTAAACTCTTTAAAAAAAACATAGGCATAGGTCTTCATAATCTTAGATTAGGCGAAGTTTTCTTAGCTATGACACCAAAAGCAGAGCAACAAAAGAAAAAGAAGATAAATTGGACATCATGAAAATTAAAAACTTTCATCATGAAAGTGAAAAGGCAACCCGCAGAATGGAAGAGAGGGGGGAAGGTTAGTGGAGCAACGCTGGCAAGCAGGCAAGGCACAGGATCTAGAGACCATGTGGGGGACCTAGGTTTTTTAAAAAGGTGGGAACTTTCTCCATGAAACACAATGATGGAAGGGAAAGATGGATGCAGAAGCAGTCAACAGTGTACCAAGAGCTCTGATTGTGAAAATTATTTACTCAACTTTACTTTAGAAAACTATAAATAATCCCTGTAACTTTGTCAAGGTCATTTTGTCAGACACTCCAGATGCTGGTTATTCTGCATTTGCTCCTTGCAAACCCTCTCTCAGCTCTTCTATGCCCTGCTCTGTGCAGATGGTAGCTGGTTCCTGGGTCTCCCTTATTCTAAGATTTCCATTTGAGTTTGACCCATCAGAAGCTAGGAGAGCTGGAGGAGAGAGACAGTGAAATATTTCTTTCCCACTTCCTCCTTGCTTGGAGGCTGCATCTCTGGTAGAGGCTGTCTGTTCACAAATTCAGCTCCTACCAGATGAACCTTTCCACTTGGCTCCAGCTTTTGCTGGGCTGTAAAAGCATTATTTCCTCCCCTGGTCTCTTCAGCCCCAACAGTAGCGATGATTTCTACTCTTGGGAATCCTGAGGTGTCTCACCTTGCTGACATTTTCACTGGTATTGTCCCATACACAATATCCCCAGCTCTATCCTAGTGCCTGAACCCCAACAAAGGAACACCTGCAAAAAAACTTATATTTGACCCTTGCTGAATTGGATCACTCTAAATAATTATGACAACTCACACTGCCATAAATGACAGGGATAAGAAGCTTAGATGTACACAATACCACTGCAGAGAAATTTCCTGTGTCAACTGGCAGCCCAATGGTCCAGCCTTCTTCTTCTGTTCAATAAGTGTCAAAATAATTCCACTGCAAAACTGCCTCCATACCATGTCACTACCAGTTGAGGCCACAGGAAGTAAAGCCTTTACTGATAAGTACCCTATCTCTTCTTGGGAGGACTAGTCTTTGAAGATTAAGACCACTCTTACAATGCAGTGAAGAACAGAGTAAAATACGGAAGGGCAATCAGGGATATACTGGAAGATAGTCAAACTGGTCTTCTGGAAGTCTTTTTCTATTTTTTAAAATTGAGATATGTTTCATATACCACAAAATTTACCCTTATAAAGTGTATAATTCACTGACTTTTAGTCTATTCACAGACTTATACAACCATCACTGCTATCTGATTCTAGGACATTCTCATCATCCCCCAAAGAATCCGTGTACCCATTAGTAGTCACTCCCCAATTCCCCATCTCCATAGCCCTGGCAACCATTAATCTACTTTCTGTCTCTACGGGGCCACGCTGATTTTGTTGATATAATGTTTAATAGCCTTTAATATATTTCCCAATGTTCTCCTATCATAACTTGGGTCTTACTATTTCCCTGTCTATTCCATTTGTATATCTATCGAGATACAGATGTGTCGGTCAGGGTCCAGTAAGGAACACACATGGCACACCAGCAGCTAATCTAACCAACACAATGGGAGAATTTCATGTAGAGAGTTGGTTAAACAACTGTTTAACCAAGGACCACAAGGGCAAAAGGGGACACAGGTCACACAGATACAGACCGCAGAAAGCAGCTACCACCCCTGGGGCCTGATGTGAGGGAGCTCCCCAGCTGGCACTGCTGCCCCAAGAGCTCAGAGAGCAACCACATGGGGCTGGTACACCTGTGAGGCACAAAAGGCTGGTTCTGGAAGACCCGAGGAAAAGCTGGGGCCTAGGACTAGCTGCCACTGCCAAGGTAAAGAGCTGCTACCCGTGTGACAGTGTCAGGACAGGGGGTGAAACAAGAAAGAGCAAGTCCCGTCCCTGTCCTCCGCCCTCCTTCTAGCATCACTATTGGCGAAGCCTAAAAGGGACCCAGCTGGCCAAGGATGAAGATAGTTTGCAGATTACCATCCCCAGCATCACAGAGCAGAAGGTCCAGTCTGAGGCTGGTGGACAACAGCTTTTTACCAACTCACATAATATGTCCTGAAACCACAGTTAGATGCTCCAAGCCAACAAACACTTCCCTGATGGCAAACAGCCCAGGTCCCCAAACATCGTCTGAAACCACTGGTTGGCCCAAACTAACCTCATCCCCCCAAACTAACATTAATATGACATGTTTCCAAAACTGATTTCTGCCCCGACTGTTACCTGACTTTCCCTGTCTTTACAAATCTTATCCTGCCTTCACCATAAGAGCCCACCAATGACAGCTTTGTGGGAAGATGGCCCATTATCACTGGCCCTTAGATCCTTCTGGGGCACGTGACCGGGTCGTATCGACTGGCACACTCCAAACTTCCACCTCCGGTGCCTTGACTTACAGTTTTGAGGCCTACCACTTATCTAATAACAGCTGCTTCTGTGTGACGTCAATGTCACCACCACATTTACACTCGATCGCCCTTAATCTATCCTAGTTTCCTTCGTTTGTATGATGTTTCTCTTTCTATGCATGCAAAAGTTCTTTGTGTGTTCAAAGTATATTTTCTTTGCCAGTATATAAATTTCCCCTGCTGAGCAGTTGACAGTATCAGAACAGTTTTAGGTACATACCAATAGAAGATGATTTTCATTGTAAATGAGACAAAAGGAAGGAAGCGAACATAGAAATTTCACTATTCCTTTGTGTCCTGTGTGTTTATAAGTAAGATCTGGGATGGTGCATATACTCAGATTCCAGGATGAGCAAGAAGATAACCATAGGCAGGAAATTACCCCTTGCCCCGGGGCAGGAAACAGGAGGCTTCTTTGGAAAATTTCAATTGCTGAGAAAAGACCAATAGAGCATTCCAAGGGCTCTCTGTCCTAGAATAACATGGAATCCAGGAAATAGAGCCGACAGAGTCCCAAGTCAACAATGTTGCAGCTGACTTGGAACATAATCCACCCAGGGATTAAGAGA